TGACCTGAGCCGAAGGCAGATGCTTAACCAACTGAGCCACCCAGGCGCCCCATATTGTCATATCTTAACTGCAAAGAATGCCGAGAGTCTTGCCTTGGGCCCAGGAAGAATAGGATAGGTTTTGGTAGACCACCAGCAGCTTCTTCTGTATTAGGGTAAGTGAGAGGTCCAAGAGAGTGGGGAAACAGCAACAAAAAAAAGAAAGAAAGAAAAGAAGTCTAGCATCAGAATTCTCAATTACAACATTTTATGTAAGTAACCAACGGAGTAAATTTTATGACATTCAAGGATTAAGAAAGTGTGAGTCAAGGAGTGAAAGACTTGAAGGTGAACATTGCATATACTTAATGGTAGAACTAGACTAAAAGAAAAAGTAATTTAGTACATAAATGTTACATGTTCTTTTTTTTTTTTTTAAGATTTTATTTATTTGAGAGAGAGAGAATGCAAAGCCAGGGGAGAGACAGAGAAGCAGACTCCCCGCTGAGCATGGAGCCCAATGTGGGACTTGATCCCAGGACGGGAGCTGAAGGCAGATGCTTAACCAACTGAGCCACCCAGGCGCCCAAATGTTACATGTTCTGATAATGTATAACTAATACAGCAGACGCAAAATAGGAGGAGGAGGAAAGAAAATGAAATGTAAACAAAGTTTGCCAACTGTCTGGGAGTTCAAGGTTAGAGCTTGCAGCTGACAAATCAAGACAGGAGAAGCTTAAACTCATGTAAGAGTACAAAGATTAAGAAATTTCAGTAACTTAAATTCCATTGTAGGAGCGCGAGAAGGAGAGAAAGAGGAAGTAATGAAATAAGTTTTGCATTGCTTATAGTAAACCAATACATAATAACTAAATAGAAAAGGAACTAAGAGTATTAGTGTAAACGTTTTCTCAACTTCAACACTATTGACATTTTGGCCAGATAATTCTTTGTTGTGGGGAAGTTATCCTGTGCTTGGAAGGATATTTAGAAACATCTCTGGCCTCCACTCATCATGCCAGTACCAATCGCAAATATTTTCAGGCATTACCAAATGTTCCCTGGGAGGCACATTATCTCCAGCTGAGAACCACTGGTATAAAGGTATCAGTATAAATGCAATCAATAGAACCAAAAATTAAACCTTGCTAAATAACAAAAAAGATACCTCCTTCAAAAAGAGCAAAGAAAACAAATCACATAGCAAGATTTTGCATTAGTATATAGTGTAAATAATTAAATAACAAGACAATATAGAATAGAGTATATCATTATATCATTAAGTATATATGGTTTCAATTATATCATTAAGTATAAATGAGTTTAAACCAAGCATTAAAATCTGAAGATTTTTAGAGCAGCAAAAAAAGCAGTATCTAAATCTTTGCTTTATGCAAGCAACACACATAAAACAAAATGATCTCGGGAGGTAAAGAATGAAAGTATGGGCAAAGATAGTTCAGGCAATTATAAATGAAAAGAAAGCAGAGATCTCTTTCTTAGTCACAGGCAAAGCAAAATTCATACCAAGAAGCATAATGAGGCAACGAATAACATTTTCTTTCTTTTTTTTCGGGGATTTTTGTCATCTCTACACCCAACGTGGGGCTCAAACTCATGACCCCAAGATCAAGAGTCACATGTTCTTCCTCCTGAACCAGCAAGGCACCCCAAAGAATGACATTTTCTAATTTCAACAGTTACAAAGATAAGAAGATAAGACATTAATACCCACGACATAACACAGAGTAACTTTCGAAAGCATAAACTGCATGAAACTGAAACCCACTAGTGAGAGGAAACTAACACTCTGGGTAACCCTAGATAGTTCAAGTGAACAAAATAATTAGGATACAGAATACCTAAACAATGCAATCACTAAGGTAGATAATACACACTCAACCCTTATATCCTGATAGAAAAATATATCCTAATATAATAAGACAAAAAGAAACTCCTGGGAAAATTTTTGAAAAAAAATTTTTAAATACATCCGGCATTAAATGACCACAGTGTGATGAAATGAGAAAATAAAAGAGCTAAAGCAGTGCTCAAAGGAGTATTTGCAGCATTAGATGCCCACATCAATAAAGATACAATGAATTAATATCCAACTTCTTCATGAAGACACAGCAAAACCCACACCTTCATTTAAATATTTTTTCCTGGCCAAATATATTCAAAATCAATACAACTTTGTCTTCCCTCAAGACTTGAGCTATTTATGAAAGTTTTAACAATAAAGGCAAAAAATTATATTCTAATTTCAATGTATGAAGTATGTAAATACATCTTACGTTTCTTGCCAAAAATAAATAAATAAATAAGCCTAAATCTAACCTAATCATGCCTCTGTCAATTTCCAACAAGAAACAGGACAGATGGGTAGGTTAAACCAAACTGCAAGGATGAAACTATAAAATCCCAGACTGTGAGACACTTTACAGGACAAACAATCCAGTTTCTTTGACAAATAAAAGGGAATAAAAAGATGGGGCAGCAGGGCGCCCGGGTGCCTCAGTTGGTTAAGGGTCTACCTTCAGCTCAGGTCATGATCCCAGGGTCCTGGGATCGAGCCCCACATCGGGCTCCCTGTGCTTCTCCCTCTCCCTCTGCCTGCTGCTCCCCCCTGCTCGTACTCTCTCAATCTATCAAATAAATAAATAAAATCTTAAAAAAAAAAAAAGATGGGGCAGGAATCAGAAGAGACTTAAATATCAATCAATCACAATGTATGAATTTCAACTGGATCCAGATTCAATTAAAACTATAAAATAACAGTAACAAATATTTAATAATATTTACATTTTTAGATGTAGTAATGGTATTATTTACGATAAAAAGAAAAAGAATTCTTATCTTTAAAGATGCATGGTAAAATTTTTATGGAAGAAATAATGTCATGTATGGAATCTGCCTCAGAATAATGTGGAAGGAGGAAGAGAAACTATCAGCAGAAAGAGCTAGGGGTCCCCGGAAAAAGAAAGAAAAGACAAGCTTTCCTGACATGAGAAAAGTCATCTTGGGCCCCCAGCCATCTTACCATCTCTGCCTGACTGGCACTACTTGCCCAAAGCACATTTCTTGCAGAACTTCCTGAGATATGTTGAAATTCCAGAACAATAGATCCCAGTAGATGACAATTTTAAGGGAACCAAAAAATGTAAGCACAAACAGCCACGATCAATCCAGGAGATAACCTAATCATATCAGGGACAATAAATCAGTGGTAAATGTTCCAGTACCGGTTCAAAAATAAAGACTGACCTGACGTACTTCTTGAGCTATCTTTGCAGGATCTGAACCGTTTTGAGCACTCAGATACCAGGAACTGATGATGCTGAACCTCATGACTTGGACTCTGTCACTTTAAGATGATTTCTGCCCCTGTTCCATGCTGAATGCCCCACTGCGCAAGCCCCTTCGCCTAAAATTTCCCCAGTTCGTTGTTCGAGGAGACCCTGCTTTGGGAAACATTCCCGTTGTTCTCCTTTACTTGTTGCAAGTAAAACCCTTCCTTTTCTTATTCTTTGGCTTCGTTCTGTCTTTTGGCTCCACATGCACCAAGAGGCGAACCCAGTTTCAGGTAACAGAATGGACAAGTATGTGGATGGAGAACTGGCCACGGGGTCATAGTTATCGAGGCTGAGGGACAGGGACAGGGAGAGTCATGATATTATTCTGCCTACTTCGTGTATATTCAAGATGCTTCATTTAAAAGAAAAAGGCACATGTAGATCAAGTAGTCTTCACACTGAATAAAGAACACATTCCACATATATGTGTATTCTATTTTTCAAATGTTTGTATATGTTATCACAATAGACGAACTTCAAATTCACTTTAAAAAATACTGCTAGGTGAGGGGTAGAAGAAGGGGGAATTGGAGGAAGGTGGTCAAAAGGCACAAAATTCCATTTATAAGATAAATAAGTACTAGGATGTAATGTACATCACGATGACTATAATTAACACTGTGTGATACATAGTAAAGTTGTTAAGAAAGTAGATCCTAAGAGCTCTCATCATAAGGAGAAATTATTTTTCCTTCTGACTGTATCTATAGGAGATGGTGGATGTTAACCAATCATGGTAATTATCTCACATATATGTAAATCAAATCATCATGCCATATACCTTAAACTTATTCCATGATGGATATCAATTATTTCTCAATAAAACTGGAAAAAATTTAAAAAGACAGAAAAAAAAAATTACTGGAACTCAGGAAGGCCAAGGCCCAGAGGACTGACTGGCAGAGCTGGACTAAAGAGCAGGGTCAAAGCCAGGCTGCTAAGGAAACATGACAAGAGCCATGGTCAGTGATCAGCCGTGCCATTTACATAAGTGGTCATTCATGGAAGAACTCCCAACCACAGGAAGTCTGCCTCTTGTAATTTCTAAAATTTAAATAGTACTCTGTCCCTTAATTGAAACAAAGCCATGTTTCATTACTCTAAACATTAACACAGTTTTTGAAAAGTACCAATACATTTCATTGTCATAGAAAGATCCCAAAGTACAGCTGAACCTTGAACAACGTGCCAACCCCCCCAACCATGTGCATCTGAAAATCCGAATATAAGCTTGGACTCCCCAAAAACTTAACTACTAATAGCCTGTTGACCAGAAGACCAATAACATAAACAGTTCATTAACACATATTTTATATGTGTTCTACGTATTATATACTGTATTCTTATAATAAAGGAAGCTAAAGAAAAGAAAATGTTATTAAGAAAATCACAAGGAAGAGAAAATACATTTAAAGTATCATAAAAATTCCACACATGAGTGGACTGGCTCTGTTCATACCTGTGCTATTCAAGGGTCAACTGCACATACATTTCAAAGAGAAAGGAATGAAACATCAGTTACACGTGCTTTAGTTAAGTAAATACAAGAAAGCTGCCTCTGAAAACGTAATCAAGTCGGAAGGAAAAGCAAAAACAAAGGTACAGTCAAGTTTTGAAAGCTAGCAATCAGAAACTGTTAGGCTTTCAAAGCAAAACCTTCCTTACCCTATAACATCAATCACCTCCAAGAGCTCAGAGTCGAGCAACATAGAAGCAGAAATGGGCTCCCAGAGATTGTCACTCGCTATGATTTTCACTCGATCGAGACCTTGATAGTTCAGCATTCTTCTTAACACCTTTTGGAGAGATAAACAGAATGCAGGAAAGTTTACAAATAAGTTTTCAGCTGTTGAATTACAACCACAATAGCGGAAGTATATTCGAAAATCAGCATCCTGGAAAATAGTATTAATATTATTTCTCAGTAGAAACGTGCCTCCTATGGAAAACATAAAGCATTATCATTAAGATAACCTACTTCATGGGCATGTAAAAAGAAAAAAAAAAACCAAGAGGTAAAAATGCTTTAGAGGGATTCTCCCTCTGACCTTAATGGAATCAACAACAGACTCACAATAGTAAAAAAAAAATTAAATAAACCACCACCATAGCTGCAGATCATTAGTTTAAAAGAAAAAGGAAACCAGAGTCTAGTGTTTCCAATGCTTCCTTCAAATGAAATGAGCACAACTAGAGAGGCACATGAATAATCAAAAGGAAAAACATAAGCTGTGAAACATCAAATCTGGGTGGATAAAAATGTTCCCCACCTTCATTATTGAGACCCTGTCATGAAGCCACCCCCAACTGCAGGGTCACACAGAACACATGCACGAACCTGCCTTCCATTCTAGGCTCTTGCTGCGCTCATCAGCCCTGTGCTCACAGAAGCCACAACTTTCCACGAACAACCATGTGCTTCCATCTTATACTAGCTCCACCGCTCCACCTCCCACGGCCCCACAACTCCCCCTCCACCACATTCTCACCACTTCACTGATAATGCCTGCAGCCTGGAGATGACCCTGACTTACACAAACCTGGCTGCAAGCCACCCCATCAAACCCCACAGCTACAGATTAAAGTGTGCCGGTCCCCTAGCGATCACAGAGGCCTACGCGAGGCTCAGAGTCCCCACTTGTCTACTCTGTCTTTCACCCTTGCTCTTCCCCCAAATCCCTTTACTCTCAATCATCACTTCTTGGCAGTGTCCTGCCCCTGCCCTAGCAACCGGGGGAGCTCCTATCCACCCCACCTTGAAGATTCCAACCACACATCACCTTCTCTAATAGCATTCCCTAATCCACCCAGGCAGAAGTGTAATGTCCACTCTATACCTTCTGACCACCCTGCATGGGCATTATTCTGCTAGAGAAATTATGACATATTTTCATTGTCCATCCGGGACTCTATAGCTCTCAAATGTGAACTCCTTTTGGGCAGCAACAGTATTTTGTGTCCTTGTCTTCTAAGCATGCATGGAATGCCTGACACCCCCCGGTGTTGAGTCAATGCTTGCTGATAGAATAAATGAATAAATAAATGAAAGAAATTTAGTGGGTATTACCTGCTTAAAAACATAAGACACTTAAAGAAATTTTTTTAAAAACTGAAACACAAAATCTAACACAAAACTATGTTTTTTGGAGGAAACACAAGACAAATAGAACTGGAAAGTAAACCAGAGACTACCTCCACCTGAAAAGTTAACCTGCCATGAGTTTCCCAGTGACAGAGGAGTTATTATTCTCAGTTTTTCCTTTCCTGAAAAACAGCAATAATAGTAATTACCTAATAAGGGAGTAAGAATGAAATGGAGATAAGTAACTAGGAAAAGCAACCCCAAAAAACACACTTGGCAAACATTAGTTGCTACCTATTTGCTAATGCTAAGTGAAATAAGTCAATCAGAGAAAGACATGTATCATATGACCTCACTGATATGAGGAATTCTTAATCTCAGGAAACAAACTGAGGGTTGCTGGAGTGGTGGGGGATGGGAGGGATGGGGTGGCTGGGTGATAGACATTGGGGAGGGTTGTGCTATGGTGAGCGCTGTGAATTGTGTAAGACTGTTGAATCACAGACCTGTACCTCTGAAACAAATAATATATGTTAAAAAAAAGAAGATAGTAGGAAGGGAAAAATGAAGGGGGGGAAATTGGAGGGGGAGACGAACCATGAGAGATTATGGACTCTGAGAAACAAACTGAGGGGAGGGGGGTGGGGGGATGGGTTAGCCTGGTGATGGGTATTAAAGAGGGCACATACTGAATGGAGCACTGGGTGTTATACACAAACAATGAATCATGGAACACTACATCAAAAACTAATGATGTGATGTATGGTAATTAACATAACATAATAAAATTAAATTAAAAAAAAGAAACATATGGAACATTCCAATGTAATAGGCATTCCAAAGAAAATAACAGTGAGACTATATATGAGAAATTTTGATTTAAGATGTGGAACTGTATAAAATTTCTGGCCAGAAGAGACTCCATTTCCAAGCTCCATTTTCCTTTCCAACAGATGAACTCTTAACCTGGGCCAGAAGTGGCAAGAGTTTTACAAGCAATTGCTCATAATATTTCAACAGAACAACTGGCATTCAGACCATATGAGGATAGTAAATTTAATTAATACATTCCAAGGACAATTTTGTTTGTGAGAGCACCAATAAAATAATCAATGAAAGAGTTTTCAGAAATGGCTCAACCGGTCAGCCCCAAATTAGCAGTGTTTTCTTTTCTCTTCTTTATCTACATCATGGAATTACCTCTTCCTTCTTTGTCATAAAAACTCCTTGTCCTCCCCACCGGAGCAGGACACTTTTTTGCTACTCCAGAATCTGTGCTCCCTGAATTGCAATTATGACACCCCAAATAAAGGTCTTTGTTCTTTTTTAGGTTTGCCTCCTTTTCTCAGCTGACAACGAAAAAAAAAAAAAAAGCTACATTTCTTTAAGTCCTAAAAGCCTAACGTGATGCAGTTGTTATTATAATGATTATCATAATTCCACAAATAATGAATTTCAAAATAGGAAAATTCGACACAAGTCTTCAGACAAAGGAAGTTTGTGGTTCACAAGGAATTACCTATGCTTTAATCAGGAATTTAAATATGATTAAGCTTTTGCTTGAATTTTATGTCACAACTAGCAAACAAATATCTGTACTGTAAAAAACAGTGTTCCTACTACTAATTTCCATGGAACCATAAGGGAATCACTTACTAAAAACTTTAAGATAAAAAGATTTTCAAGTCATACAGACCTTGATATAATTGATGTCATATGACCTCTCGTTCCAAATCTGCAAAACAGAAAGTCAGTCTGAATTGAAAGTTAAAGGTCAGAAAGTAGACATTCCCATTAAGATGCCACTGTTATCATCCTTCATATCATCTAAAAAGCAATGTTTCTTACTTTATGAAATGTCCTGTTCTTGAATTTAAAGATATTTAGAAGACAACATAACTTTTTAAAATTAAAATATTATCTTTCAAAACCTTGAATATTTGGTGGGTATTTTTAGTCACTTATTCCAGTGATTTTTTTTTTTATTTTATTTTTATTTTAGAGAAAGAGAGAGAGGGCAAGCAGAGGAAGAGGGGGAGGGAGAGAATCTCAAGCAGACTCCCCGCTGAGCATGGAGCCTGACATGGGGCTCAGTCCCAGGACCCCCAGATCACGACGTGAGCTGAAATCAAGAGTCGGACGCTTAACTGACTGAGCCACCCAGGCGCCCCATTCCAAAGATTTCTAAAACTGAAATATCCATTCAATCATTCAACAAACATTGACAATGTAATGTGTGCCAGGACTCTATTAGGCCCTGGAGACCTAGCAGACATGGGGAGTATTGTAATAACTCTTACAAGATCTTACCCGCACACCTAGAGCCAAGTATTAATAAGTACACTGTAGAAGTAATTTTTTTTAGCCCACATGATGTGCTACATTACAAAGGCAAATTCTTAATAAGGGTAGATAAGAGGAAGATGCACAGCTCTCATTGGTTTAGAATCAGGCAGGATGAGGTTTTAGAATTGAAAGAGAATTTCCATGACATTTATTTTGCAGCTGAGAAAACTGTTAATAACCGAGATGGCCTAGAGTCTAGGCACTATAATTCATTTTACTCTTGTGATACAGGAAAGTACTTCTTATCAAAGAAGCTCCTCACCACAGCCTGTGAGTTTAAAAGAGATGTGAATTACCCGTTCTTTACCAGAAACATTTTCTAAGTGTGACTTCACCATAATAAAATGCTATTTAGATCCAAACCTACATTTAGTTTCACTACAGGTTAAAAATACCCTGACATTTGAAAGTTCTCAAATACAAACTAATTTTCAATTATGATTTGGAGAAAGATAACAAAACACAAGTATATTCTTGCCTCTGGCTCCCTACAGCCCTTGGCCCATCCTCATGCCCTCTCTCCTCCTGTGATAGTACACTTTATCTGTCCCAGTTTCTATCTCTCTCACTAACCTCCTTAAGGGCTTATTCATCTTAGTATCCCTAGAACATAACAGTCACAGTGCCTGCAACATCGTAGGAGCTCAATACTTGCTTGCCAATTGCATGAACGCTTTTAAAATCAGTTTTGACAGATGGCGTATTAATAAGCAAACATGTATGGAGACCACTATGTGTATGTGTGAGGCTCTGTGAGGTACGATGCCTTCGGCCTGCCAACAGACCAGTTGGAAAGACATTATTTTTACATTTTTTTCAATCATTAAAAGGTGTTAAATAACAGTTTAAGACAGGGTAGGCAGATTTTAGCCAGCCTGCCAAATCCAGCCCACCCACCATTTGTATTTTTTACAACCTGAGAGCCAGAAATGGTTTTTACAGTTTTAAACGGTTACATTTTAAATGGCTATATAATTACCTACATAATATCCTTAATACTGCCTTTTGACCCACAAAACCTAAAATATTTACTCTCTGACAACACTAAGAAAAAGTGTGCCACCCCCTGGTTTAGGACAACAGAAGATTCATAGAGCAAAATGAAATTAATCATTAAACTGTCTGGTAAATATAGTATTCTTGCATGACTAGAGAAACTAGGGAAAGCTCTTAAGGAGAATGTGAGCTGGGTGATACCAAAATCAAAATTAAAAAAAAAAAAAAGGTAGTTCAGAGAAGGTATTATACACTTAATAGTTTTCAAAAGGGGTTAGAATTTGGATGGGCAAAGAGGAGGAATAAAAGGTCACATGTAGTTAATTTGTTATCAGATGCCAATAGAACAAATCAGTCTCATGACACAAAATGGTTAGTCAACAAAATGCCACAGAATCAAATTACTTTAAGAAATTACAAATAAATGTCCAAAAGTTAATCAAGTTTTAAATATATTACTAACCCCAATATAATCAATATCCAAATCATGATAATGCTTGGCACCCACAATCCAGGTCATGACATAATAGGCAGTCAGCTGAAGATTCACATAAGGCCAGTTGAAACCTTTTCCCAGCCATCCAGGGAACGACCACGGCAAGCCTGCAGAAAGGAAAAGGTAAAGGTGGAGTGGGTATACCCATGCTGGCAACATTTGAAACAAGGCAAAAAAAACCAAGAACACAGGCTAAGCAAAAAGCCAATACAGATCTTCCTCAAGATTATATACTGTGCACAAATTCTCAAAATCCCTTCCAGTTTATGAACTCAGCAACTCCTTACTGATCCCTAGAATCAGCTTCCATAATTCCAAATGCTTTTTCAAGAAAAAGAAATAAAAACACCCCCTCAAAGATACTAACCAATAGAAAGAAATGTAACATACAATTTAACTCAATATGCCCACCACCTGCTATAGGGATATTTAATATTCAATTTCTTTCCTCTGAAGTCAAATCAAAGAATTCTGAAAGGCTTATGCCCAATCATTCCTACAGGTTAAGTATAATACAAATTCCTCATTCACTAGGACAACTTCTTAAAACTTAAGGCTCCTTAAAATACTAATTAGTCAGATAATCAAATTCAGCAAAACTAGTTTGTCATCATATCAGTATAAATGCCAACGACTCAAGAGGAAAATATTTCTTTGTGGTATGATTTAGATCAAATAACCCACATCCTTCCAGCACCTTAATTATTGTTTTCAAGTAAGAAAATGAGAATAGTAGAGAAGCACTAATTACAATTCTAAATCCTAATTCTGTTATTAATATATCAAAATAAGCTCAACAGTTAAGTTCCTCAACTATTAATATATATCACCAATCTAGTTCACCACTGAAAAAAATCAAAATGAACAAAAGAACAAAATGCTTATTTTTCTAAGCTCAGGAGGAATGCCTCAGTGTGTATCCCATAAGAAATGTGACATTAAAATACTGGAACATTTTAAAACAATGAAATGCCAAATACATTCTAAAGGCCCAGCATGTGTAAGTCTTTGTTAGAACATGGTTCAGCGTGCCAGATTTTCTACATTTAAATGAGAACTGACCTTGAAAGCCGCCTAATGGGTGAGTATGAGCTGAAGTCAATGATGCTTTTTTTTTTTTTTTACTGCTCCAAACATTTCTGGAATCTCTTGCAAAAGACCATTTTGAAAGAATACAATAACTCCTCATTTTTTTAATTTAGAAAAACTTACACTTGTCCTTTAATTTGATTGTTGAAAATGATTTTTAAAATAACCTGAAATCAAGCCTATAAAATGGATCTCACTGGTCTCACACAGACTGGATGTGGAAGCCTGTTTCAAAAAATCAAATTCATTTCAAATGATGACTGCCATCACTGGGTATGTTTGCAATATCTTACAGGTCTGTGCATTGCTATATGAGAACTGTAAAATGAATACAGTAGTCCTATTTGAGAAATCCAATGATCCTGCTACTAGAACGTAAGCTCCACAAGGGTGGGAAGCGGGGGCTAGATTGCTCGGTATCTCCGATGCCTAGAACAGTGACCACCACGTTGCTGAGGTTCAAAACAAACTTTTATGTGTACTTCTTTTAGAAATGGGGTGTACTATTGCATGTAATGCATAATTTTACAAATAGTTGGTATATACTACTGCACCTAATATACAATTTTCTAGAGAGTATTGCCCTTTTACAAATTTTGATAAGAAATTTTGTTGAAGATAAGAGTTTAGCAATCACAAAAACAACCAGAATGGAATTAGGTTCTATATCTGATTTTACCATCTACTAATTACCTGGCCTTAAGTCAGTGGCATAACCTAAGCCTCTACTGCTTCTGTAAAATGGGAAGAGTAATGCCTCACTCCAGAGGCATTACATATAAAGAGCAGAAATAATACCTAAGGGCAAAGAAAGGATCAAGCCTGGCACATGCTTTGCTGCTAGTAGGATAATGGTAGTGTTAACATTATTAGTACTTCAGTATTAATAGTGACTCCACATACAGAATTCAGAATTTGAAAGTTAAACTGACTGCAAAAGTATGGCAAACTTCACTTCTTACCCATGAGTATAATATTAGGGTTCCGCTTCTTAGCTTCCTTCATTAACCACCACTCATATCCTCGGAAATAATTCTCATCTAATGCATAGTGCATGTGGGAGGGTTCGGTACCATCTGCATGGGAGAGAGCAAAAGAGAAAGGAAACCACCCATTAATGGTGTTTCATAGGGCCACTCTCCCCTATACATATACACATTTCAGAGAAGACATTTTCTGGTTCCAATCCTGACGTGGGACAAATAAGAATGATCTTATATAACTTGAGGATGGATGATCAAAGCGTATTATTTCATGTTTTTTCATTACTCTATCATAAAGGTCTTGAAAAACAAAACCACATCTTTCTATTATAAGCAGCATTGACAGGTGTTATCAACTCACGTAATTGAAAAGTCCTAGGACTACATTCTCCCAGGCTTTGGTCTGGTCTTTCTGGGGTTTTCCAATCACCACATTCAACACATGAGTTCAGATCACCTCAACTTCTGGCTTCTCAATCCTAGATGTGAATCTCCGGGCTCCTAAGCCCCATTCTCATACCCCAGGCCTTGAGCCTATAACATGCCCTGTTACACCAAGACAACAGAGCTTGGAGAGAAAAAAGGAAAGAGTATATATCTGCATACCGCTCTATAAGAAAATTCTATCCTAACCTCCATGGTGTGACAAGGTTGGTAGCTGATATCAGTCCTCATACGTTACCACATTTCACAAACATCTGCCCATGTTAAGAGGGGCCTCACAAGGAGAGGGGCCTTGCCCTTTTCTTCTTAAAGATAAACATCAGATTCACAAGAACTACCCATTTCTGTATCTCTACCTCTAATTTCACTTCAGCAAATGTAGATGGCCAACCATTACCAATTCTGTATAAAAGGAGTGGACAATAAAATACATGTCCTATTATGGTAGCTTGGAGGAAGTTTGTGTTACAGAGGTTTCTTTTGTTTTTGATTTTCATTCTTTTTTCTTTCAATATTAAACACTAATATGACCACACAGACATATCTCTTTAACAAAAATTACTCCCAAGTCACCAACAGGAACACGTGTATACAGACGATACTATAAAGTTCACTATAATGGAATCTGGCCTGTAAATAATAAGCTGCATTATCACTGAGAGAATTTTCTTCTTCCTGTACATTAATTGACTACATGGACTACACAAAGCCAATCAAAAGGGTGATAATGAAGATTGAAAATTTAATGGTTAAAAATAATTTTGTTTTTAAGAGAAAAAAGCTGTACCTCTAAAATACTGATGACTTATATGTTTGCCACACTATTTTATTTAAAGCTAATAACATTATAACATTTTACATGTTTTCCACATTAAGAGTTTTCTTTTTTGAACTTCTCAATAAAAATTTCAAACTGTCTCTATGCTCTTAGTGAATATAGTTTTTTAAAAAAACTGTGGGTTTGTTTACTACTGATTAATCCAACTATATAAGCAATCTAAAGTCCAAATGCTATTTTTATGAGAAAAAAGGAGTATTTTGATATATTTTAATAGAATAAAAAAGGAACAATAAGATATAATCTATAAGCAATAATCAACATCAAAAATGTTGGTATCATTTATATTCTGATTCACAGCCCCTAAGTTTAAGTATAGATTAAAACGTTGAAGGAAATCAATCCCATTTCCCAAATCTCCTACCTGTTGTCTGCCCATCACCACCTATTTCGACTTTTAGAATATGCAAAGAGGCACCGAAGTTTGGCTGGGGAAGGAAGTAGGAGTATTAACACTGTGATTCACTGCATGAAGGGCAAAGCACATTAAGACAATTACAGATGAGAAAACCAATTTCAAATAAATAGCAACTTATTCCAAAAGTAATTTGCCATTCTTTTTTAAAGCTAAAATTGTGAAGGCTATCAATTCTACTGCTAAAATTCACCATAGCTTCAAAAATACCACAGATGCCATTAAGTAATTATTTTCTCATTACCTTAAAGAGATAATCCAATATTTGAGAACGATAGGGCTCTGGATAATTTACTAGAAGTCGGGAGGTTGCCTAAAAAAAAAAAAAGTTCAAAAGTATGAATAAATCAAATCCAATCACGAACGTATTTTCATAGTGCTGATGCACGCCACCCAGCAGGCCTATGTTCAGCCAGGGCAAACACTGAGTGGTGGAAAGTCATTTCCCAGGTTATTTGTTTACCTGCCTATATTTTACCCATCTTTGGGCAAATAGGGCTGTTGTTTATCCAATAGCTAAAACTCAGGTTTTAAGCCACAGCAGTTTTCTCTTCTACTGAGATGAGGGTTGGCTGGGAGGTAAGCTAACAAAATCTACTGATGAACAGCATGATTACAGACTTGTCTTGAGGACCTTAACTCAGAGAGTGGTTATTAGAAGAAATGAAGCTTATGTTCTCTATCTTAAGACCATTTGTCAACTACAACATTGGGAGGCCAGGATGGAAAGGATAAATATCAGGTAATTTTCTCCTTCAACATCTTGCAAGAAATTATTACAAGCAGCAATGCTGAAAGGAATCACTACTCCCCCCTTCTTTACTAGAGATTTATAAGTGCTGTTACTATTAGGAATGACCATACAATGACCCCCAGGCCAAACTGTACTAAGGAAACCTCACACAAGATTGGCATCAGAATGCATGGAAAGAGAGAGGTGGAGGGTGCAGAGACCAACACTTGATCACAACTAACCCATGATCGATGACTGCTTCAACAAAGAAATCACAAAACCAAGACTGGACCAATAATGTATCTTCTGGGGAGCAATATACACAAGGGGAATAAAAGAAATAGGTTTTAACATGAAACAGTGGCATGCCCCTAGGCTTGGAAGCCAGACAGCCTTAGGTTCAAAAAACTGACACCAAGGGCAAGATACTTGACTTTTATGGGGCTCAATGTTCTGTTTCATACTCTCATTTATGCTTCCACTGACGTTCTAGTGGCACCCTTACATCTATCTCCCTCACACCCACAACCTTCCCAGCCCCTGCCACTGAGACACAGACCCATGGAGCTACCCTCTCATCCCTTCAAGTTCAACACATCCCCAATCAAACGTGGCACTTTTTCCTAAGTCTGTTCTTTCTCCTTTACTTGTTATCTTAGTAAAGGACATCTGCCTAAACCATAAATTTAGGGTTACCCTTTCACCAATTCCCATCCATCTGTAGTCACCAAGACCTCCTTAGTATCTCTCAAATCCATCCCCTCACTTCAACCCTACTTCCTTCATCCAGGCCCCCCTCAATCATTAGAATAGCCTAAATAGCCTCAGGGCCTCCCGTCTGCCTCCCTATATTCTATCCTCCACACTACTTGCCACATTAATCTTCCCAAAACACAACCATGAAAGTACTCTGTTTAAACCTGCCAAGACCTCCCCTCTGCCAAGAGCTTTCAGGACAAAGTTCAAATCCTCAGTTTTATACCCAAATCTCTCTAACTATTTGGATCCTAACTCTGACACTTTACCCAGTACCACTCTCGCGCCTTCTATCTTTTTTTTTTTTTTTTAAGATTTTATTTATTTATTTGAGAGAGAGAGAATGAGAGATAGAGAGCATGAGAGGGAAGAGGGTCAGAGGGAGAAGCAGACTCCCTGCCGAGCAGGAAGCCCGATGTGGGACTCGATCCCGGGACTCCAGGATCATGACCTGAGCCGAAGGCAGTCGCTTAACCAACTGAGCCACCCAGGTGCCCCTTGATATATCTTAACTACTTTTTCTTTCTTCTGTCTGGAATGCATTCCACACCCTCATTGGCCAAGTTCAATGCACGGTCTTCAGGGAAGGACCCCTTCCTCTCCGCCCACTGGTTTGATGTAGGTAGTAGTAGTTTGATGTAGTCCTGTGGACTCCTCTGGCTTCGGGTCTACATCTCTACTGTAACTCTTCTAACCCTGCACCCTCCTCACTGCCATACTTCTCTGTCTCACTTCTGAGTTCCTTGAGGACAGGGACTATGTCTTACTCAAGTTCATATCCCCATTTATTCTTATTTAGTAAACATTTAATATCTTTTATGGTATTGTTTGTTGCACTGGCACAGGCAACATAATATAGGAGGCTTTGAGTCAGAAGGAGCCTACATCCTGATTGCATCATTTACAAGCTATGTGACCAAGGGCAATCTGTTGTAAAGTAGGCTATCTTACTCCTTAGAACTCCTTCAGCTGTTCTAAGGCCAAAATAAGATGTATGTAAAGGACACAGCGCAGTAGCTGGCACACAGTAAGCTCTCAATAAATGACAGGCATTATACAAATTGTTTTTAGAGACACAGGTGAGAGAGGGATTGACTTCCTTCAACGTTTTAATCTATACTTAAACTTAGGGGCTGTGAATCAGAATATAAATGATACCAACATTTTTGATGTTGATTATTGCTTATAGAGTATATCTTATTGTTCCTTTTTTATTCTATGAATCATGGAACATTACATCAAAAACCAATGATGTACTGTATGGTGACTAACATAACATAATAAAAATTAATTAATTAATTAAAAAGAGGCATATGCCTCTAGAAATTATGAAATGTATTCATAAATTTGCCAATATACAGAATGCTAGTAAACAGCTCACAACTGCTTACTCACTAGTTTTCACTAGAAATTAAGGTTTCTAAGAGTCAAGAATTCTAACAATATATGTAATTAAAAGTACAAGAAATAAGAGAAACCACCTAGGCAAGGAAAGTAGGATGTAGTTTAGCTATGGTAGAAGGTATGGATATGCATTTTTGTTAAGGCAAATGAAAGTAATTTTGTCCTAAAGTAGACAAACTAAATGGATATAGAAAGTAGGAGAAAGAAAGAAAGAAAAAAAGAGAGGGAGTGAGAATTTTATCTTGTGTAGACAAGCTGGCTAAAAATGAAATAATTTATTATATTTTTTAAATAAGCTTTAATAAATAGTGTACTTCTGAAAACTAAAGCTTAATTTTATTTCATCTGCTAAAAGGATAGTTTTCCTGGATTACTGGTCTGTTCTTGATAAGACTGTGCAAGGTTTTTATTTACCTTTTAAGTAATCTGCCTAGGAAATAAAAATTCTGTATTTTATCAAAATAACTTCCAGTATCTCAAGTTGTCTTTTATCATGTCTTTGATTACTTAAGAAAACAAGTCTTCTCTATTTAAAGAGCTAAAGTTTTTGTTGTTTTTTTTTAATAAACTATGTAGCTTTCTGTATTTGCCTATGAAGTCTTTAATTGTAATTTTGGTGAAAGTTTTTTAAATGGATAACTAGTATTTCAGAGCAATCTATGATCCAGTGTAATCAAGGGTTTCAAAATCTTTTGATATTTCTGACAAATTTTCCAGAATCAAATTCTAAATGAAGCCTTTTTAAACCCTGAACTAACTTTGGGATTTTCCACGGGGTCCCGGGAACATCTCAAATGATTTGTTCTTTCTCCTTATTAAAAGAGAGATGTTAAACTAATTAGGCTTATTTGATATGTTAAACTACATGGAAAGCATTGTCAAATAAGTAATGAGAAACCCTCTTTAGATTAAATTTGTATGGATATGTGTGACTGATATAAATGTTCCAGAAATCATATGAAGTTCCTAGACATCTGCTATGTCCTGATATGATGCTGTCACTTTTAATTCTAGTTATTATCTTAGAATGTTATATGTCACAGAAATAACCAAAGTTCCTTGCCAATTGCATGGTAATGAACTCCCATAGGTATTTAACGTGGCTATTTTTAAGCCTTTAAGTGTTCCCAGCAGCCTTACCAGGTGAATAATGGAAACCACTTATTGTGAAGCCCAAAAATACCAGGATATTTGGGGGACCTTGAGAAGAGAGGCATTCACTGAAATCTATAGGTATTATAGGTGAAGTATGAAGGCAAGTCCTTGGCTTGACTGCCCAGCCCTGAGAGACTTTTAGAGTCCAGTCTGAGAATCCTTATGAAAAAAAATCCAGCAAAGCACACTTAGAAAAGCCTGGGTGGCTGAGTCATTAAGCGTCTGCCTTCAGCTCAGGACATGATCCCAGGGTCCTAGGATCAAGCCCCGCATCGGGCTCCCTGCTCCACAGGAAGCCTGCTTCTCCTTCTCCCCCTCCCTCTGCTTGTGTTCCCTCTCTCACAGTGTCTCTCTCTGTCAAATAAATAAATAAAATCTTTAAAAAAAAAAAAAGCCTATTTGATCAGACCTACTTCATGAGATGGCCAAAGATGTTTAAGTATTTCACAATATTACCCAAATCTTTGAACATATTCCTGAGCCCTAGGATCACTGACCTGGTTTCATGTCCCTTTAAGCTTGGGACCATGGCTACGGACTAGACTGCAGACTACTGTCTGTATAATTATTATAGAAGTGCTATATAATCCTACTTAGATGTGTATTTTCTGGGTTACAACATGCCCTATCCCTGACTTTTAACCTATCAGGTATCCAGGGTCACCATTGACTGATGCCTCAGTATCAAGGTGGACTGTAGTATAAACCGTGACAGTTTTTTTTCTTTTTTGTAATGCAAGTGCCTGAGGGTATCCTCTTCAAAGAGGTATCCACTTCAAAGATGGCTGTTTCAAAGAATCACACTGCTGATCTAGATAAAGAGCCAGGCTCCCCCAGCTGGGACCCCAGCCTTCTTTGTTTTAAAGACCTTGGTTGATTTCAGTAACTGACCACAGAGGCTGCTTGATTTTTCTCTTCCTGCACTTTAAACTCCCCCTCTTAAGTTTTAAATTCACCAATGAGTGAGCCCGCAATAAAAGCAGGACAGAACACTCAAGCTCCAGTGCTCTCTCTCTCTCTCTCCCCCTCTCCTCCCCCGGCCCCCCACAACCTTACTGTGTGGTCCCAAGTGTGCCATGTGCTTGCCAGGATCTGTGAATAATAAACCTTTTTTTTTTTTTTTAAGTTTCTTGATGGTTATTGCTGAGAACATTTTACAATCATAATAAGAACCATAAGGGCCAGTCCAGCCACAACACCGGCTATCAGTAGGCTGAGATCAGCACAAAACATCCATTCAGCAAGCAAGCAGTCAAGCTAGTTCTGAAATGCATCTGAATATACAAGCTCCATCTGACTCAACCCAACAAATAACCCATTGAAGAGTTAGGCCTTAACACCAAATAAAATTAACTCTAGTCGTGATTTGGGGTAAAATGGAAGGAGATAACACAAAGACAGGAAAAAGGTTACAGAGGGCATGTGACAGGAGCAAGTAAATTTTGTTAGAGCCAAGAAGAATCATGCTACTAAACCAAACTCCCAGGCCTAGAGGCCACATGTCAGCATGACCAGGAAATTCAGACGATTACCAGCTGTGCCCACACAATTTTACACAAAGCTGGAATGGCCCTCCTGTCTCCCTTCACGTAAATCTTAAGGAATGTCCAGGAAAATGAACTCATTCATCCCAACTGTCAGAGCCAAGAGAGGACTAAGGCATGCCAGTTAAATGCAGTTAGTATTCTGGACGGGATCCTGGAACAGAAAATGGGCATTAGGTAACTACTAAGGAAATATGAAGTATGCATTTTCATAAGTTATCAATACTGATTGTGACAAATGTACCATACCAATGTAGGATGCTGGTAACAGAAAAATGGCTGCAGGGTGTATGAGAACTCTGTATTCTCTTGGAAACTCTTCTGTATATCTAAAACTATTCTAAAATTAAGTTTACTTAAAAGAAAAAGGTTTCTCACTACTCAGTATGAGAATCAATTGGTGTACTTGGTAAAATGCAGATTCTCAGGCCCCAATCCACAACTACAGTCAGAATGGAGAGTGCATTTAAACAAGCATACCAGGTGATTCTTACACACCCTAAAGGTGGCGAACCACCTTGGATGTTGAGCCAATGTTTCCCCCTCCCTGTACACAAAAATGGCCACCAAAGAATCACAGAGGCACTGACCTCTCCAGTGGGCAACTCACCCCACCTTGGGCCTTGATGACTCCCAAGAAACACAGCCCCTCAAGAGTAAACAACCTAGACTACCAGTTAATACTAGCATAGCCTGCCATTAAAAACAAACAAACAAAAAAAACCAGTCCCAGACTGACCTCTTACCTTCCTACAGAGGCCTTGAGGCACCTGTCGCGCCTCCAAACAAAACGTATTGTGCACTGGCCCCTCTGAAGTTATAGCCAATCGCACCCTACACTTGTGGTCCAGGGCTTCCGACTCCCCGACCCTCACTGGGCATCCCCTTGGGAAGAGATATGCTCCCCGGCTCCCTGACCATTTCTGTAGCGACCCTCAGGAATGCCCTCTCTGCGGCAAAGAGAGCCCAGGCTCCGTCGCCCGGGATGAGAGTACAAGCCCCAGCCTTGTCACTATCTACACCTGTCACTTACTCGGTGGACCTCCGCATCCTCTTTTTTTAAAACTAATTGCCTCTATATGTTCATCTAAACGAGCAAGAGCCGCTTCCAACCCTGTAGGAGCCCAGACCTCTGGCCCAGGAGCGCCCGCCGGAAGGCGGGCGGGGACTGGAGCGAGTCTAAACGCCCGGCTGCGCCGCGGGGGCTTGTGGGGCGCCCCCCTGGCCACGCCCGCGCATCCCACCGCCCGCTACTCACCCCGCCGCCGCTGATCGCGCCGATGCCATCGAACTCCCGGCCCAGCCCGTCGGAGTCGTCCACCACGTACGCGCCGCCGGGTACCAGCAGCGCGCACAGCAGTAGGGGCACCGCGGCGCGGCCCGCCGAACCTGCGGCGGCCGTCATGGCTTTCATTCGGCGTTGCCGGGAAGCCTGGAGTAGGCGCTCGGCCATTGTGTGGGTCACATGACTCCCGCGCCCAGGGAGGCGGGTCTGGCCGCCGCCATGATGGGGAAGGGCAAAAGGCCGCTGACGCCGAAGCCGCCATCTTGAGTGAGGGCCACACGTCGCCTACGCAGCCGCAGTAGTGTAGTGGACTAGCAGAGCGAGCCTTTTCTGGTCGTGACCTTGTTGGGTTGGGGCCTTCAAGTGTACTCAGTTCACTGCTTCTCTTCCGGCCTCATCTGCTGGAACACGTTAGCGCAGGGGATGTCCAAGGCCGCCTAGGGAACTCACCGTCTGAGGGCGCATCTGCCACGTGCGGGTCTGTGGCAAAGCAAGAAAAAATACCCAACTTGCTGCCCCTAACTAGGTCCCAGTTCAGGTGTGGCCCTAGTTGAGTCACTTAGTTTTCTGAGCCTGAGTTTCCTTTTGTGTACGATGAAACAAGAGCAGCCACAGGGGGACATGTGATTAAATGAAATACAGGGTAATAGGCCCTCAGTAAATCTGAGCTGAACGCGTTACACACTTGGCAAACGTTAGCTGTCAAGGTTCTCCATTCTGGTAACCACTATGTTTATTTAGCTTTCAGCTTCATCAATTACCCTACGTTGCCGGTTGACGTGGTTCCAGGCAGATAACCCTAAACTGGTAGGGAAGTTATGTCATGGGATTTTGCCACCTTCAGCGTCAATCTGAGATTTCTGATTTTCTTGGTATCAGAGAAAATTGAAGAGAGTGTGGCTGCCAAGAAAGCATTTCTGATCCCAAAATCTCCCTTTGTAGTCCCATGGAATTGGTTTTCAGTGTCTTCACAAGCCCTGGAGACCCCAAAATGTCAAAGAGAAGACCCAAGGCTATATAGGACACACAAGTCTTTATCTTCAGGGCCCTATCTGGAGTCAGATTGTTTTGCCCCATAACTACAGACCTAGACTTAAGTTTCAGGATCACAATTATACTAGGAAGAAAAGTATCTGTGCAGTCCCAAAAACGAAGTTGTCGGGCCCTTCCGCTATCCCTTCGTTCTTAATGAACAATAGCTACGCTTGCTTTTTCTCCTCTTAAATTACTGTAGATCTATTTTGGTTTACCAAGAACAATCCCAGCTTATGTCTATTGTACTAGTATAATTTTTAATAGTGCCCCTTTCACCCTCAAAATGGTTCTGGCTTGGATGATAAGTTATATCCCTACATATGGGCCACTTTTTCTTCCATTTCTTCTTTTTTCCAGTACAGCACATGTCTAAACTCTACCTTCTTTACCACCACCATTCTATGATACAAGTCAGGAACTATGCAGGTTCCATAGATTTACCTTCCCAGAACTCACTCTGATCTATCCGTTCTAATACAATATTTTAAGCCAGAATTTGAGCACCAGTGGATGCAAGCCATAGATGATAAAAGAATGCTAAGCTCCCTACCAATTCTGAGATTTTTGTATCTGTGATGTGTATATAACATATGCATAATAATGCAACTAGTGCAACTAGAAGGGAAACCAGGGTGAAAATAGAAGAAAATACCCTACACAAGAAATTAATTGAGAAGTTGAAACCAGTACCCAGCGTACATCATCCTGTAACACACCCTTGCACCAGTATTTGAAAGGCACCCCACAAATATTTGTATACTTTGTGATCTCTGTAGAAGAGGAAACACAGAGTATTTAACAGAAAAAGTGTTATCCCTAGGACATATTAGTAGTTCTTATTAGTTCATATACCAAAGTAATTCCTTACACAGAAAATATCTCTTGTTTCAAATTTCTAATCTATGTTCAGGAAACCATTAGAAAAGAAGTTTCTAATAAAAAGGCAATTAAATATAAGGAGGAAGAGAGATCCATGGATGGCAGGACACAGGAGTCAGATTTGCTCAAGAGGTGAAATAAATGAAAATAGCAGTTATCAGACAATCATGTGTTCAGCTTCCCTTGCTCCTGTGGTTTGGGGCATGAGATAAACAAGAAAATGAGTGCCTCTCACTTCTCAAATTTCAGATGAGTTTTAAAAGTAAAGACTGTCTTTGTCTTAAAGGAACAGTGTTTTGGAGTATCACGACTGCACTTCAGCCACCACAAATTTCTCATTTTTCCAAAGTGAAAAGTGTGATTAAAATCAGATGGTCTCTTAAGATGAGAGATCTTGCCTTTTAATGAAAAGTTACTAATAAAGTCTGATTTTAGTCTGTTGTCTCTAGAAAATGGCTCTACTTTTAGAAATCTGAATCCAGCCCTCAAATTCAAGGGCAGAGGCCAAGTCTTTATCCTCTTTGTACTTCCTAAATGCAGTGTCCAAACCACGGTAGGTACTCAATATGTATTAGTTGACTTGAACTTAAAAAAAAAAAAATCACTGTGAAAATGGTGTCTCAAATTACTGGGGTGAGTATGGAACTTTTAAAACATACAGAGACATCTGGATAAGTATTTGGAAAAAAATCAAATTTTAGATCTATGCTTCACACGTAAACTGCAAATGGACAGAACTCTAAATGTAAAATATGAAACCTTACATTTTCCAATACAAAACATGGGTAAATTCCTGTGTAACTTGGGGGTCTAAATATGATTTAATATCTCAATACAAAAAAATAAGTTTAATTTTAAAAAATCACTGAATATGGGACAGTCAGTTAAGCATCTGCCTCCGGCTCAGCTCATGATCTCAGGGTCCTAGGATCTATGGAGCCCCAGTGGGGTCAGGCTCCCTGCTCAATGGGAAGTCTGCTTCTCCCTCTTCCTCTGCCCCTCCCCCCGACTTGTGTGCTCAAGTGCACACTCTCTCAAATAAATAAAACCTTTAAAAAATTTTTTTAAATAATAACAAATCACTGAATATAAGGGATAAGGAAAATGGATTATTTACAAAAGAAAGGAGAAACATTTCTTAAAGTAGAATCTCCTGGGCCATAAAAGAATATAAAATATATTCTTTTCATGAACTATTCTCTAACATCTGCTATTTATCTGATTTTTTTTTTACTTTGACGTACATGGCTTGATTGCAATTATTAATAATGTCATTCTGTTCAGTAACTTCTAAAATATGTGTAGGAATTCTTTTAATTCAGGACTTTATATAAAGACAATAACAATAGTTCAGAGGACAGAACCCACATAATGGAATAAATTATATATTGCTTACTAAACATTTTCTTAAGTAGAACTCAGATAAAAACTGCTATAGCAGAGAACAATATGGTACGGCAGTTAGAATCAGCCCTGAAGTCCCAGCCTACTTTACCGCTCTCCACAAAACTAAGACAATTCTGGGGGGTAAAGACTGTTCCTGTCTTCATACTAATCTGAAATTGTTTTCCGTTTTTGTTATCTACAGTCATTCAAACCCATGCCCCGTGTGGCTGATTCCCCAGGGCGAGTCTTGGTAGAAGGCGGATTCCAGTCCTTCAGGAATAAAGGAGTCAGATCATACCTCTTCCTGCCCCCAGCAGCGAGGGCTCTGGCAGCGACCAGCCTCCCTCAGCCAGTTCCTTGAACTTGAGATTTTGATCGTGTAAGGGTAACTAGATGTATGGACAGCCAAGAAAGCACCCTGGAGCCATGTCAGAGTCCAGAGGAGGAGCAGGTACAGAGGCTCCATCAGAGGAGTCCCGAGCGCCTGCAACAGCAGGGTCAGAAGTGCCATCCTAACCTATGGCTCAGGCAGGGTGACCTGGACTGTCTTTCTGGTCCTCTGGTTCTGGCCCGTTTCACAAGCCTGGTTCCACAGCTTCAGCAGCAATTCTGCGCCCTATCCTGATTTCTAAGTCATTCGTTTTCTGCCCAAGTTAGCCACAGGTGGCGCTGTTGCCCTCGGCAAAGAACCATGACCAGTATACTAGGTTGCGATCCAGAGTAACGGCAATCATCCAAAAGAATTCTCAGCCTCTGTGTCTGCATTCCCCATCGCCCCCCTCCACCCCCACCCCTCTCCACGGCTTTAAAACACCGTCTTTGCCGGGGCGCCTGGTTGGGCGGCTGCCTTCGGCTCAGGTCATGATCTTGGAGTCCCGGGATCGAGTCCCGCGTCTGGCTGCCTGCTTGGCGAGAGTCTGCTTCTCCCTCTCCCACTCCCCCGTCTCATGTACTCTCTATCTCATTCTCTCTCCCATGTGAATAAATAAAATCTTAAAAAAAAAAAAAAAAACAGACGAACCATTAGAGACGATGGACTCTGAAAAACAAACTGAGGGTTCTAGAGGGGAGGGGGGTGGGGGGATGGGTTAGCCTGGTGATGGGTATTAAAGAGGGCACATTCTGCGTGGAGCACTGGGTGTTATGCACAAACAATGAATCATGGAACACGACATCAAAAACTAATGATGTAATGTATGGTGATTAACATAACAATAAAAAATTATTTAAAAAAAAAAACACTGTCATTGCCACCTCTCGTCCTTTCCTTGGTCATTGTGACTGTGTGGATTTGCTCAAATAAGAGAACTCCAGGAAGTTTTGCTCTCCTCCTATGTTTCACCATTGATATGTCTGTTCTTTGGATTGTCAATACCTTTTTCTTCACTGCTGCCAGGGGAAGAATTTTAGAATCCACCTAATCCCAAATCCTAAGCATGAAGAAAATGAGAGCGCAAGAGGTTTCCACCACTCAAACGATTTTTTTAAACATCTAGTGCAATGCTGTCCAACAAATATAAGGCAAAGCACATGTGTAATTTGAAATTTTCTAGTACACATTTTTTAAAAAGCAGATGAGATCAATTTTAATGGTATGTTTTATTTATTCCCAAATACCCATGTATGACCAAATATGTAATCAATATAAAATATATTAATAAAATATTTTGTGTTCTTTTTTCATACTAAGTCTTCAAAAACCTAGAGTGTATTTTGCATGTACAGCACATCTCAGTTTGTATTAGCTACATTTCAAGTGCACAACAGCCACATGTGGTCAGCAGCTCCTGTATTGGACAGACCAGATCTAGTGGATGCTGGGTCCTGGGCTAGGCACACTCAGTAAATGTCTACCTCTCTGGCTAACGATGAGGCTGAAGAATATCCACTCTGCTAGAGCCACCATAACAAAATACAACAAAACGGTGGTTTAAACAACAGAAATTTACTTTCTCACAGTTCT